CATTAGCTGTTATTTTTAGGGTTAACAGAAGTCAGACTTTTTGTTAAAAGCAACAGAAATAGTTTACAGGCCCGAGTTACGGGCTCCAGAGGGTCCTCAGGAGACCCGAGAACCGATAAACAGGCTGGAATGGAGGTAGGTGCAGCCGCTGCGAAGCAGGCAGCCGGGGGACGGTCCTGGGCCCAGGCGGCAAGGCCAGGACCTCACGGCTGGGTAGCACCGCACCCTGGGCTGGTTGCGCTCAGGTCTTTGCGTCGGTAGAGCTGGATCGGGACAGAGGTGGGAGAGTCTGGCTGTCTCCTGGAGCTTGCGTCGTGTCCCCCACCGTGTGGGCATGGGGCCGAGAGGCACTCCATCCTGCCCACATCACACCCGAGGAGGCATCCTCCAAAATAACAAGGGGAGCCAATGCTGGAAATGTCTACTCCAAAGACAGTAGAGAAGCCACCCCTCTCTACTGGTCCAAGTGCTTTTTTTGCATTGATGAGCCACGAAGCCACACCGTCTCCAACTTAACTTTTAAAGTCCTCTTGGTATTTCACATGACCTGTTCTCCTAATGAATTAAAAATCTCTCTGTGGTCAAGTATTTTACACACCACTACCTTGGATCGCCCATTGCACCTTAAATACAGGCTTACAGCATGTGTTTTTAAATTGCTGACGATGCCTCTTCGGGTGCCCCAGGGACCACGATCAATTCTTCATCACCCACATATGGGCTTTCCTTAGCCAAGTCGTCATCAGTTTGATCTTCCAGCCCAGAATGATACTAATAACTCTACCCTCATGACCAGCTGGGGACGCGCAGGGAGTGTTTGTTCCCTTCAACATCAGCCTCATTCGAAGGAGGGGCCGAGAGTGGTTGGAGATGGATGCCCTCCGTCAGAGGAGGACTCTGGGCCAAGTCGTAGCTTTAGCCTCGTCCATACATTTGTGTTAATATTGCTTCATTTGGAAGTTGAAGATGGGAGGCTTTAGTGTTGGAATTTAGAGGTATATGAGAAAAGATATTTGGCCAGTGGCAGAAAGAATCAAAAAGAAAGGCTGAACAAGCTTTGGAAAGGACAGGAAGACGTTGGGTTCCTCCATCGCTGAGCATCCTGGGAACAGCCATCAGACAGTTCAGTTCCAACCCTCTCACGTGTCTGACAGTCACCTCCAGAGCCCAGTTCTGTGGTGTTGGAGGCTGAACGGCCTGGCGCGAGCTATGCTCACCACTCGGAGAGGGCTGGGGGATGCCAGGACTAAAGGTTGCACCAGGATCCCTTAAAATCTGAGGACTGCAGTTGTCCCCAAGGACATGCAGTGATTACCCCCAAAAGGGGGCTTCGGATGAGCCGGGAAAGCAAAGCACCAGCCTGCTGCAAACATGTCCAAGGGGAAGCGGCAGAGAAGTGAGGGGTCCCAGGATCTGATCCCAAACACGGGTAGGATTATGCAGATAGAGGGACACCTCTCCGGTCATGGCTGTTGTGAGGAGGAAACCTTAGGTGAGGATGTGGGGGAGTTCGCAACTGTGTTAAAAGGAGGTCCAGAGAGGGGGACCCAGTACGTGGTTGCCAAGTTTTCTATTAACTGGGGGAGGGGATCAGGATGAGAGGCAAGTCGATCAGGAGTTTGGGGGTACAGGAGAGAATTTCTCACTTATTTTCTCATGTTTTTCAAGACTGTTTTTAAGAGTCTAGTGTGCTTAGCACACAGGCTCATATTAACTACCTCCTCTGACTTCTTTTTCTCCTTGACTGAGTCCGGTTTTCCTTTGGTTCCCACAGACCTCCGTACACATCTCTTTCATGGCCATGACCTTATTATTACCCAGGTGTTGAGGATGAAGGGGAAGGCGGTAAAGGCCAATCGGCCTAGTGTTGACTGCTGTGGCGCCCCCACATTCCACACTTGTCGCCAACATGGTTTGATTAGGACCTTCAGGTGCTTTTGCTAACGGGCAGGAGGACAGGTCGCTAAATTCGCTTTCTCTGGTGTAGTGTCGGAGGCGCGCTGGAGGAGGAATCGCAATGCTTGCAAACAGAGCTGCCTGCGTTCCTGAGGGGAAGTCCAGACTCCGACACCTGAGTGAGTATTCATCCTGTCTCTCACACTCACACATGGACTCGCAGCCCAAGGGAGGCCTGTGTACAGTGAGCTCTGAGTGGGTCCTCCTAGCTGAGTAAGAAAGCTGCCATTCTAAGGTTTCCAAAATGGCATGTGTGGTTAAAGAATGACAACCACCCTTCTTTCCCTAACCAAATATATGTTCGTCTTTTCTTTTTTTTTTTAAATATTTTTATTTATTTCTAGGAGAGAGAAAGAGAGACAGCGTGAGCAGGGGAGGGTCAGAGAGAGAGGGAGTCACAGACTCTGAAACAGGCTTCAGGCTCTGAGCTGGCAGTCAGCACAGAGCCCGACGCGGGGCTCGAACCCACGAACCGCGAGATCATGACCTAAGTGAAAGTCAGACGCTTATCCGACTAAGCCACCCAGGCGCCCCTTAACTTTTCTTTTTTGAAAGTTTATCCATTTATTTTGAGAGAGAGAGAGAGAGAATATGTGAGCACAAGGGAGTATGAACAGGAGAGGGGCAGAGAGGGGGAGATGGAGAATCCCAAGCAGGATTCACAGAGCCCATCGGATGCAGGGCTTGAACCCACAAACCGTGAGATCGTGACCTGAACCACGTTCAACAGTCGGAAGCTTAACCAACTGAGCCACTCAAGTGCCTGTTCTTTGTTAACTTCTAAGTGAAGGCAACACAAATATCCATATATGAAGTGCACTTAGAACAGACACCAAGAGTCAGGTCAAGGTTTCTTAGGAATCACAAGAAAAAAGTATTTTCTTTGAAATGAACTGTTGTATCTTAGGAGTCAGTCTAAGATTGGAGACTTAAAATTAGTTATTTAAAATAGTGTAGCACCTCAGATGAATCACTGCACTAAGAACACATGAAATTTCCCTGTTTACAAAATGGATTAGGGGGTGGAGAGTAAGACTGGGATTTAGAAATAAAACCTATCATGGTAAAGCTTCCTTTAATGAAATCTACCAGCAGATTTAAAATACTCTATCAAGGGGCACCTGGGTGGCTCAGTTGAGCATCCGACTCGTAACTGAGCATCAGTTGAGCTCAGGTTATGGTCTCATGATTCGTGAGTTCAAACCCGCATCGGGCTTGCTGCCGTCAGCGCAGAGCCCACTTCAGACCCTCCTTCTCCCTCCCTCTCTGCTCATGTGCTCTCTCTCAAAAGCAATACACATAAAAAAAGTAATCTCTCATATTCTCAATCCCATTCTGATGCATGTTCTCCAAAAAAATTAGCAATATTTCATCTTCCTGTTTAAAAAAATACTCTATCAAAATCTAAAATACATGTATTTTTAACAATTTCACATGCTAAGTGATATTAGTACAAGGATATTTCTAGCAGCTTTTTAAAAATATTTGTTTATTTTAGAGAGCCAGCGTGTGCACGTGATTTGGAGAGGGGCAGAGAGAGAGACAGGGAGACACAGAATCTGAAGCAGGTTCCAGGCTCTGAGCTGTCAGCACGGAGCCTGATGCGGGGCTCGAACCCACAAACTGTGAGATCGTGACTTGAGCTGAAGTCAGATGCTTAGCTGAGTGAGCCACCCAGGTGCCCCCTAGCAGCTTTTTTTTTTTTTTCTCTTTAATAACAGCAAGATAGTGTCCTTTCACAGAGGAGTGATTAAATTATTGGCATAACAGAGTATTATGTAGTCTTTAAGAGAATGGTGGGGTATTGACATGGAAAGATCTGCAACATACATTGAATGTAAAATCACAGTGAGGAAGTGGGAAGAATACACTGTCATTCCTGTATGGAAAAATACACAGTTGTATTTGTAAACGTAATTCCTGAAGAGATCTGCACACACCAGTTACAGTAGTTGCCTACAGGGACTGAGACGGGCGGCTGGGAGGAAAGTAGAAGCTGTTTTTTGTTTTGTTTTTGTTAATCTCAAGTCCGGGCATTACCTATTCAAAACTTAATTACAAACACAGTCCTTCTAATGAAAAAAAGTTCTTCTATCAGTTGTGATACACCAAGATTGAAAAATGATTTTTGTCAGGTCAATTTCTGGAATATCTGAACCTAGATTTTTTCTTCCCCCTCCCTCAACGAGAGGTTTGGGTTCTGTTACCATTTAGCTGTAGGATATTGGACGGGTCAACCACCTACATGGACTTAGACTCCTCATTTGAAAATGATGGGATTAGACTGTAGAGGCCTTCAAAATTCTTTCTGGTCTAAGAGGCTGTGGTTATAGGATCTGACTGTGCAATATTTAGGAGAAGCAATAAATTAGCAAAGAGAATGAGTGTGTGTCAGTGAGTTTTGGTGACGTGGCAGAAGTGATTGTATACAGCTGATTTTATAATATAGTTCATTCTTTTTTTTTTTTTTTTTTAAATTTTTAATGCTTTTTATTTATTTCTAGGAGACAGAGAGAGAGACCGCGTGAGCAGGGGAGGGTCAGAGAGAGAGGGAGTCACAGACTGAAACAGGCTCCAGGCTCTGAGCTGGCAGTCAGCACAGAGCCCGACGCGGGGCTCGAACCCACGAACCGCGAGATCATGACCCAAGCGAAAGTCGGACGCTTAACCGACTAAGCCACCCAGGCGCCCCAATATAGTTCATTCTTATGCCACACTTTGTAAATTACCTTTCATTTCTACTCTGTTCATCTTTGAAATACCCAAGGAACAACAAAAGAGGCATAGTCAACTGAAGAAATTTATTTTTGTTTCTAGGTACATAAGATGACATAATTATAGACAAGTTTTGATACATAGGAAAACCCTTCTGTCCACCTTTCTCTTTGCTAAATGAATCATCACAATAATTTTTACAATTTTTAAAACAATACACAGCTTTCCTGGGCTGAAGCAATCGCAAGGACATATCGGTACTGGTATATTACAGCTACTTACAATGTTTAAGAACAGCAATGGAGAAAAATAAGTTATTTAAATATTGATTTCATATACAGAAAGTGCAATGTTGTTAGTTGTTATATAACTTGCTTGACAGTTTCTTGTATTTCTCTATCAATTTAAAATCAAGATAACTCGGACTCAGACTACTATATTTTCTGAAAAGAATACAGTACACACAATGCAGCATTGACTTGGTGAACTGATTTCTTTCGCTGCAGTTATGAAAGCAAATTTTGCTATGTCAGGAACTGGTTTGCAATAGACTAGTAATTTCCAATTTCACCCACACCGGGGATCAGGACAGAGAAAAGGGCTGCTAAGAGAAAGCCATGAAAATCCATCTGCTTCCTGGTTATCTGGGAATGTAAATCGTGGCTGGGACTGGCCGCATTTCCCTCTAGACAGCTTTAAAGTAAAAATGACACACAACGGATGTGTAGCTACCTGAGCCAAACTGCCTTTCCAGGTTTCTTTTGTGCTTTCCAAAGACCACACTTTTCCCCCTTCCTCAACACTGTACCAAGTGCAATTGATTAAAACCGGATATTGCTAGTGCCTAACACCTGCCTTCTGACACGCGGTCCCTAAACCACCTTAGTCAAATGTCACACACAAACATTCAGGCTTTTCTAGGATCAGATTAAAAAGTTTAAAGCAAAAGAAGACCAAACAAATACTAACAATAAAAAAACAAAACGAAACAAAACCTTTTTTTAAAGCACGATAAAGTAAAAACCTCTGACCCCTCAGGTTAGGAAGATCTTCCCGCTTTGAAAATCCTTCATGGTCCTTGAATTTGATTTTTTGATGCAAAGGCAATTAGTTCCAAAGAAGAGTGACAAAAATATGGTTTTGGCATTTTCAAGAACTCCAGAACATTCCCTTTTCTGGTGCCACTTTTACTTAAATGAAAATATTAGACTGAAAATGAACTAACACTGGGAAGTTCACAGAAGATGCCTCCTCCTCCTCTGTTGTGTTGTGTGACTGGTGTGTGGTCAGCTTCAACTACAAGCAGGGTCTGAATGTCATGTCGAGGCCCTGGGGAGCAGGGCGAGGGGCGCATGTCCCTGAGCCTGTCTCCACCACAGCACGAGAGCTACGTATCAGCGGTGTCGTCACATTCCACGTGGGCTGTGCGCACAACCCGAGATGGCGAAAATGAGCTGTTTTTAAGATTTCAGTAGAAAATTGGCAGCTTTTAGCTTTTTATTCTGCATTTCCACAACTTTTTCACATGGCATCTTCTAGAAGGTGGATATTATCGAAGAAGCCTATTTGTTTTTAAATGGATACCAAAGCGTGAAAAAAAATAACCTGAGAACATCCTTTTCCTCAGAAACATGGATCCAAGTACACAGAGCAAATGCTGAAGATGGCTTTGTAATGAGTGAAGTTACTTTTTTTCTCTCCCTTGAGGGAAATCATTTTAACGAGCAGATGAAATGTGTAAGAGCTTTTGATCAAGGCTTTGTCTTCAAAGTGTTTCTGTTGTAAATGATCACATTCAATGCTTAGAATAGTTCTCATGATTAAGAATGTAAAGGAAATTCATTTAGTAAGCAACAGAAAGCTTAATTTAGCCTAAATCTGTGTGCTAGAAAAGGCAGACACCAGACTAAAAGAGAATGGTAAGTGCTACAATCAGTTGGAAAACCACTGAAAATCGGCAAATACTTAATACGTGGCTAACGTGCTTTGTCTGGCTCCAAAGTGAACTTTTATCCGAATTAAAAGAATTGTCTCAATAAGAAAGGGAGAACAGTATCTTAATTATAAAAGTGGAAAAAAATAACCTTTAAAAATCTCTTATAAATGACTTCCCTTTTAAAAACATCTTTCTGAAATAGTCAACCTTACGGTGACTTTCCAAAGGTGACCTATTAGCTGATGAGTGAAATTTGGAACGGACGTGGCCAGGAGTCAAAGGCAATACTGCAGCACGATGACCATCATCGTAAACAAAACAAAACTGATTAAAATTAAGGTAGTTTCTATACACTCGCGCTCACACATGCACACACATGCATGCACGCTCACATACACACCTGATCTCTGTGAGTTTCAGATAGCGTTTTACTGGGTTTGTAGTTAAAATCTGAAACCCAACGTGAAATTTGTGCCTGACAGACACCCCTACAAAATAAGCCATGTCAGAGTGAGGCAATTAGAAAAGCCCATTTTTTTTTTCTTTTTTGCTGAAAACATCTCCGGTATGTTAGATGGCACTCTAGACTGAAGATCTGGAACTATGGTTACAGGGTGATGGACACCAGATAACTGCTTAAAAGCTTATATTAAGGCAAATAAAAGCTGATTGCTAGAAAGCAATTATTAAAATGTCTCTTGTTTACTTAAAGGAGAATAGGACTTTTTTTTTTCTTTTCCCTAGTACAGCCAGATTTTCTTAACTTCTGAATAAACAAGCATAGTCAATGGCGTACAGTAACTCCTGGGCCTGTTACTTTGGCCTGGCTAACGCCCGCCCGCCCTCCGGTATCCCGCAGGGTGACAGACAGAAGGGCAAGGGCGTTCTTAGGAACGACAGCGGCTGCCCCTCCCTCCCGCCAGCGCACCAAGACAGACTGGAGGCACAGCGCGGGCGGCGAGTTGGCATCCTGGTTCTTTTGTGTTCTGAAAATGAAAATTAGCGCTTATCTTTTCTTTGGGGGAGTCCAAGAAAGCCACACCAATTTCCTTGAGGGGGCTCTTCTGGAGAAGAGAGGGTCATCAGTCCCGGGCCAAGGTTTCGTGCTCAGTTCGGCCTTACACTGGGCCTTTCTTCCGGATCTGGTCTGCACGTCCCAAGGAGGAGGGATTGCATTAGCATCATAAGCACAGTGAAAGGGTGGCTCTTGTCCAGGGAGCTCCATATATGGGCCTGGCTACATGGCCTCAGGGCCTGGTGGCAATTTGAAGAGTCTGGCTGCAGACACGAGCTTGCTTATGTGTCTCTCCTCTGTGATGCCGGCCTCCTGAAGGCAAGTGTGGGACAGAGAAGGCACTTGGCCCAGTGTGCTGAACCCAGCTTCGGTGAGGGCGCTGGTGTACATGGGCATACCGATGGATACCAGCCAATCCGACACAGACGAGACACATCCGGGAGACAGGGGCTTTCTGCAGATTTCTGTGAGTCCACCGCTGGGGATCTGGATAAAGAAAGAAAGCAGTTTTATAAAGACTTGACACAGGCCACTGGAGGGCTCTTTTATACCTAAAAGGAACACTAATGAAATACTGCACTGCTAGACTACTACCAAGTGATAATGCTGTGAGATGTCAAAGACCCAAGCGTGGCATCAGGAATTCTTTCTCAGCTTCTCAAAGGTGAGACCTATCTTCAAAGAAGTGTTTGAGGTTCTAGAAAGGATTTGGAATTAGATCTAACCCTAATTAACCTAATGTCCAAGTCTCCAAACTGTAAGCATTTCTATACTCTGCTATTTCGTCTTCTGGTGATAGGCTCTTCAAAGAAACCCCTAGGTGAATAAAGAAGCAGGCTTGTGCAGTAGTGTGGCAAGTAAAATACTCAGTGCGTGGAGTTTGTTTTGTCTTGGTTTTTAAAAATTTTTTTTAATGTTTTATTTATTTGTGAGAGAGAGAGAGAGAGGCAGTGTGAGCAGGGGAGGGTCAGAGAGGGAGGGAGATACAGAATGTGAAGCAGGCTCCAGGCTCTGAGCTAGCTATCAGCACAGAGCCTGACACGGGGCTCGAACCCACTAACCATGAGGTCATGACCTGAGCTGAAGTTGGACGCTTAAGCGACTGAGCCACCCAGGCGCCCCTTGTCTTGATTTTTAAGAGAGCATGAGCCGGGGAGACGGGTGGAGGGAAAGAATCTGAAGCAGGCTCCACGCTCAGTGCAGAGCCTGATGGTGGCTCGATCCCACAACCCCGGGATCATGACCTGAGCCGAAATCAAGAGTCAGATAGGGAACTGACTGAGCCACCCGGGCGCCCAGGTAGATATTTTATAAAACTGATTTTCCACTGTATTTTGAATCTACATTAACCAGGAAATTAGATACATTATCAGTATAGTTCTAAAAGGTGTAAAATTCAATAAAACCAAGTGTTGGCTAGGGCAGGGAAATGGACATTTACAATCATTTACAACTGAACTTTGGGAAGACCAAGTGCTACGCCTTTTCAGAAGGTAATTTACTAACAAATGGGCAAAGCCTTGAGATTTTGTGCAGGCTTCCATAAGCAGATCCTCTTAAGGGAATATATATATACTATGAAATTAACCTTGGGAGCCCACAAAGATTTATTACATATTAACAAGGGTGTTCTTTACTAAGTTATTTAAAATAAGTTGGGGGAAATGTAAATGTTCCAACAATATAGGATTGCCTAAATGAAGGCACATTTACCTACTACAACATTTTGACATATTGATAATATAAAAGAAGGTTTAGTAACAGATTCATGATCTGAAAACTGAAAACAGGCTTCAAAACTGCACATTTACTGTTGTACATGCAGAGAAATGGCTAGACGACTTTTAAAAACTTTTTCAGGAGTGCTGGGCAGCTCAGTTGGTTAAGCATCCACGTCAGGCTCCGCACTGTCATTTGGGATTGTCTTTCTCCCTCCCTCTCTCTCTGCCCCTCCCCTATTTGCAAGTGCGAGCTCTCTCTCTCTCACTTGCTCTCTATCTCAAAATAAATGAAAAAACCTAAAAAAGAAAAAAACCTTTTCATGGTTCTGGGATTATGGATAATTTTCATCTTTTCTTCTTTCCCAAATTGTATTTTTAAAACGTTACAGGCTGAATATGTATTACTTTCCCTCTAGGTGTTTCCTTTTGATAGCTGGGGTGAACCCCGGGCAGTGGCTGCCGGCAGGGTCCTGATTCAGCACCTTAACTAAATGGACTTCAAAAGTCGAGCAAGGGGAGACCCCAAGCTGGCTGCTCACCGCCATGCGGTGCTGCTTCCGAAGCAGCTTCACGCGGATCTGGTCCATGTTGGTGGCGACGTCCCTCTCGGGCTGATCTAAGTCTTCTGCATATCTCTGCACCAGGGCCTCGGGAATCCCACAGCGGCCGTGCTGCGGGGGAGAACAGAGATGCGGCATCAAGGTGTGCAAGGGATTTCTTCTTCGAGAGCAGCAAACACAAGGTAGGATAAGGCACCTCTAGCTACTGGGAAGTGTCACCAAAAGTTTTCACTGGAAGTGAATATATTTAGAGTCAGGATGGATGTTTTAGAGGAACATGTTTACATCTTGATCTTTCAAGTACTGACAAGCTCTACGGAAAAGGTTTGGAAACCTAAGAACATAATCATCTTGTATTATTTGAACCAGTGACCTCACCTCCCTGTACTGGATCATTGTGTGCCATATTATTGAAGACCGTTTCCTAAACTGCAGGGGAAATGGGCAGACTTGTGCCCTACGGTCGTCTACTGTTTGTGGCCTGTCTGTCTTACACTGCCAATCCCTAGGCTTGTACTGTAGACGAGAATTCTGACTGCTTTCCGTTCTAAGGGATTTATTCACTAAATATCAAGGAGGAGGAGGTGGAAGATTGTACTATAAGGCGTTTGTGATCAAAAGAATTTTATAACAAGGCCTCCCAGGGATGTACTGTAACAAAATAGGCATTTCTAGGAATTCTGTACAGCTACATCTGTCATCATTCATCTTCAAAATCATTCTGGTGTTGGTAGATCTTCCTTCTCTTTCTCTCTTTCTCTTTCTTTCTCTCTCTCCTCCTCTCTTTCCCTCCCTCCCTCCCTCTCTCTCTCTCTCATAAGCAATGCGTTTTCAATGAAAGGAGTTTAAATGCATTTTCTCAGGGGTTTTGGTACAGTGGGATGTTTCATATAATCATTCCTCCTCCGTTACCTATACAGATAACCATACAGTATAATGGCATCTGGAAAGGGTTCAATAATTTTCAGTGTGTTCACATTCACTTGCTCCTAATGATCCCTGTAGAAGGTAGTTATGCAGGTTATTCTTGATCCCATTTTACAGATAGGAAACGAAGTGGGGAGGTGTCCACGTCTAAAAAGATACATGTTCAGGAAGACCTGGAGACTGTGCTTCAGGTCTGTCCACCAAGCCAGCCCTTTCTAGAACCAGTGCTAGTATCCCTGAGAGTTGTTCCTGCAGAAATCTAGCTGCCAAACGTTAAAACCAAGCAACGTGAGGGACAGAAAGAGGAAAGAAAGGGAAGGTCCCAGGCCGTGCGTGCGCTGGCTCCTGCTCATCACATCGCCTGGCGCCCGGCAGCAGAGGACCCCACTTGGGCCTCCCGCACCCCCACGGAGAGCACGGCCCCTGCGACCAGGCCGGCGTCGGGCCGGGGGCGGGGGGCAGCCGTGGTGTGCTCTTACCTGGCCGCCTGGCTTACACAAGAGGCCCGGAAGGCCTTTGGTACCTTATCGGAGTAGGGCTCCTCCGTGAGATCGATGCCTTCGGCTCGCAGCTTGTTTTCGGTGAGCACTTCCAGGTCCACCCCCCGAGCGCAGGACACCTTCCTGGTGAGACCCGGGCCCAGCTTCACGCCGTGCTCCTGGAGGCTCGTGCTCTCCGGCAGCTCGGAGAGCCAGGGCGGCGGCCTCGCACCACGGGGGCTGCCGGGCTCCTGGGCCGAGGGAGGCCTGGCAGCCTGGGGTGAGGGGCAGTCACCGGGGCTGCCTTTTTTGACGGGCAGGCTCGGCGCGTCGGGGCCGGGAGGGCCGGGGTGGAGTCCGTTGGCCAGGCGCTCTCGGCTTTTCTTGGCGGGAACGGGGGGAGGCTGTGAGGGATGCTTCGCCTGCGTTCTTGCCTCGGGTCCCCTCTGCTCAGCACCTAGGCCGTCTTTGGTGCCCGGGGGGTGATGTGTTCCTTCAAGCTCGAGTCCTTTCCTGTGTCCCTCAAGAGGTGTCCTTGTTAAACCGTGTTTAGCTCCGGGAGGTTGGGCATCATAGTTTTTGGGCAAACACGGAGGAGGGGACGTGCCGCGGGAGGAGGCTGCAATGGAAGCTTCTAGTTTCTTAGTAGCTGTTTTCTGAGGTTCAGAAAATCTCTTGCTTTGGGTCAGTAGCAGTGCATTGTCAACAGCAGGATCCCGTCTGAGGCTTTGAACCTTTGCGATGGAGAGGGTTGTCTTTAGTGGCACTTGTGGTACAATCTGCGGGGAGGGCTCTGTCCCCTCGCCGGGCGCATCCTTCTCGGCAGCAGGCTCTCCTTGAAGGTCGTCCAGGGAATGGGATCTGGGCCAGGTTTCCACGCTCTGGGGGCCCTCCAGGGTCTCACAGCTCCGACACATGGAAACGGGGAGGCTTCTTCGGTGTTTGTTCAGGCCGGTCGCACACGGCTGGTCACAGCACTTGGAGGTGGGGGGGGTCAGCGCGCCGCCCGGCCTGCCTTCCTCCCCGGGCTTCAGCGCGGCCCCGGGCTTCGTTAAAGGCAGGGTTGGGTAGTTGCCCAGCTGGGTCCTGCTGAAGGACTTGAAGCCGGACTCCACTGACGACTTGACAGAGAGAAGGCTGGTCTTCCGGGTCTTGCCTGTGAGACAAGGGAATATTTTACAATCGTTTGGAAAAAATAAAAAACAAATCAATCCAACTCGTGGAAAGTTGCGCTGACGTAACTGAAATGTCCCCAACTCCTGTGTTGCACGGCTGAATTCTGCCAGGGACATGAAATCACCATTTATGACTTGGGGGGATACAGGGTTATTAGGGCCCCATTTTTATTTGTAGAAAGAATTTTTAGACTTATTAATGGACTCATGGAGACTGAAATTAAATGGTAGGAGGGGAAAAAAATAGGCTGTGTCAGGCAGTAAAATCAATCTAGGCCTCATGTCTGTTCCTCGCAGCAGTCAGTGTGAAACAAGGCTGGTCATCCATACCCTACCTAGAAACCCACACTGGGATTTCTGTTTGGGGAGGACAGTTTCCTGAGGCCAGGATTGAAAGGGCCACTGGACTGAATTCTATAAATGGTGCCCCTAAGGTTCGCTGGTGACCAGGGAATTCTCAACGTGCACCTTTCCTGAAGTGCTCCCCTCTTCCTGGGGGTGTGTGTGTGTGTGTGTGTGTGTGGGCGTGTGCGTGCGCGCACGCGATAATCTAATTTCAAATGGAAATTTGAACTGATTAAAATCAACTGCCCTGATTAAAATCAACTGCCAGGCTGATAACTGAACTATATCACCTAATATGATAACTGTTAATTGATACCAACTACTAGTATTGCTTGATAAGCTTCACTGAGAATTTACTATCTGTGGTCAGGGCCTGTGCTAAATGTTTCATTTTCATCAGTACTTTCAACACCACACTCCCCCCGCCCCCCGCTGCAGTTAACTGTCCTTTGCTATATTTTGGTTAACACCATGTGCGATGTGTGCCTTGACACCGGGCTGAGATGCCTGAGGGGAAGACCCACATAATGCTAGTACTCCAGGCTCACAGAAAAAGATAAAAATTTTAAACCCACGTCAGATTTGGAAGGTACAAAGAAATGGCTGGCTGTAATAGAACAAAAAGCTTTCTTCCCAGTCTATTGTTTCAGCAGACACTTCTAATGAAATATTTTGATTTAGGATTTTGACATCTCCCCATTAAGCAGTCTCAGCCTTTCAATAAGAAAAGAGCGGGGAGAAATGAGGTGGCGGATGGATTCGATTGGGTAAATGAAACACATTTTCTGATAAACCCTCCGTGTGCCTGCTGTACAAGTGAGGGAAAAGGAACGAAGAAAGGGCCAGGACACTGTGATGATTACTGCTACTTTGGCCATCAGCAGCAGCAAAACCCAGATTCCTTCTAGGATTTCAGTTTTCTACCGAACTCTAACTGCAAACTGATAATACTATATGGATGAAGTCAGGCAGAACTCCAGCCCTAAGACTGATGGATAAGAACAGGCCTTAAGAAGACTTATGAATGGTCCCATCCCTTTCAATCAGACACAAATCAACAGGTGAACTATTTTGCAGTTGGCAAAGCAGATGCGTGGTCACATGGCATCCGTGCTCCCTTACATACAATGTGAGGCCTCAGACCCCAGCCACCTGTGTGTTAGCAACATGCTGAGCCCTAGAAGTCATTACTTCATTGTTACACGGAGATTGTGAGCTCAGTGTTACTCTGGACTATGCTGAAGATCACAGGTAACATTGAAAAGGGAAATACTTCAGAAAGCACATCCTGCTAAACATAAAGTGTAACAATCAGTTAAAATAGAGAAACTCTTAAAACTGTTTTAGTATACGGGGTGCCTGGGTGGCTCAGTCAGTTATCATCCAACTCTCGATTTCAGCTCAGGTCCTGATCCCAGGGTCATGGGATCGAGCCCCATGTCGAGCTCTGTGTTGTACATGGAGCCTGCTTGGGATTCTGTCTCTCCCTCTCTCTCTGACCCTCCCCTGCTCACTTGCACACACACTCTCTCTAAAAAACAAAACAAAAAAAGTTTTAGTATAAATCTTAGAAATAAGACTTTCCTTCCCTTTAACTGTTAAGATAAACTATAGGTATAAATTATGCTTCCACATTCTACTTCTGTAGGAAAGATCCCTGAATTCACCTTGAGTGAAGTTTGCCAGTTTCTGTGGGTTCTTTAGCAGGTGCACCTCTGATTCTTTTAACCATTAAGTCTGCCGATGTTATCTGTGAAATCCTTACCATCCAAAACCGTTTGGAGAATTAATTTCCTGAAAATGTCTGGATGTGGAAAGGTTATTAACAGGAGAGAAAAGCCTTCAGGAAGTACAGGAGGACATAGATATTTATTGGAATTCTGGAGTCCCTGCGCTCCAGCACTCTAGGTGAGCTGTTCGAGCATAGTTAACACAGTGTTCTAGTAGTTTCAGGTGTACGGTACAACGATTTAACGTTTCCATACATTTCTCGGGGCTCATCAAGTGTATTTTTAATCCCCTTTATCTACTTTACCTCCCACCCACCTCCTCTCTGTCCTCTGTATTTGTCTGTCCCTTTGTTTTCTTTCTTAAATTCTACATGAGTGAAATCATATGGTATTTGTCTTTTTCTCTGCTTTATTTCACATTGCATAATACACTATATCCACTTGTGATGTGTAAATGGCCAAGATTTTATCCTTTTTTATGGCTGAGTAATACTGCATTGTGCACACATAGCACATCTTCTTTATCCCTTTATCAATGGACATGGTTGCTTCCTTATCTTGGCTATTGTAAATAATGCTACAGTAAACAGGAGTATATGTATCTTTTCAAATTAGTGTTTTCATTTTCTTGAGTAAATACCCAGTGGTGAAATTACTGGATCATATGCTAATTCTATTTTTAATTTTTTGAGAAACCTCCATACTGTTTCCCACGGAGAATGCACCAGTCTCTATTCCCACCAACAGTGTGAGCGTTCCTTTTTCTCCACATCCTTGCCAACACTTGTTATTTCATGCCTTTTTGATCTTAGCCATTCTTAAAGGTGTAATTTGAGATCTCCTTGTGCTTTTGATTTGTATTTTTCTGATTAGTGATGTTGAGCATCTTTTCATGTGCCTATTGGCCATCTGGATGTCTTCTTAGAAAATGTCTATTTAGGGGCGCCTGGGTGGCTTAGTTGGTTAAGCATCCGACTTTCACTTAGGTCATGATCTCACGGCTCGTGGGTTCAAGCCCCGCATCAGGCTCTGTGCTGACAGCTAGCTCAGAGCCTGGAGCCTGTTTCCAGTTCTGTGTCTCCCTCTCTCTCTGACCCTCCCCTGCTCATGCTGTCTCTCTCTCTCCTAGAAATAAATAAAACATTAAAAAAATTTAAAAAAAGAAAATGTCTATTTAGGGCCTCTGCCCATTCTTTAACTGGATTATTTTTTGGTGTTGAGTTTGGGGTTTATATATTTTGGATTTTAACCGCTAATTGGATATATCATTTACAAATATCTTCTCGCATTCAGTAGATTGCCTCTTTGTCGATGGTTTCCTTTATTGTGCAAAAGCATTTTATTTTGGAATAGTCTTAACAGTTTAAGTTTGCTTTTGGTTGCTTTGCCTCAGGAGACCTGTCGAGAAAAATATTGCTATGGCCAATGACAGAGAACTAACTGCCTATGCTCTCTTTGAGGAATTTTATAGTTTCAGGTCTCACATTTAGGTCTTTAGTCCAGTTTGAGTTTATTTTTGTATGTGTATAAGAACATGGTCTAGTTTCATTCTTTTGTATATAGCTGTCCAGTTTTCCCAACACCATTTGTTAAGAGACTGTCTTTTCTCCGTTGTATATTCTTGCTTCCTTTATAGATTCATTGGCCATAAAAAGTTTGGGTTTACTTCTGGGCTTTCTATTCTGTTCCGTTGATCAATGGGTCTGTGTGCCATAATGGTTTGATTACTACAGCTTTGTAGTGTATTTGAAATCTGTGATTGTGATGCCTCCAGCTTTGTTCTTCTTCTCCAAGATTGCTTTGGCTATTCAGGGTATTTTTTGGTCCCATACAAACTTTAGGATTATTCTATTTTCTGTGAAAGACGTGGTTGGTATTTTGATAGGGATTGCATTAACTCTATAGACTGCTTTGCATAGTATGGGCATTTTAACAATACTGATTCCTCCAGTCCATGAGCTTTCCTTTTGTTCAGTTTCTTTCATCAGCGTGTTATAGTTTTTGGCATCCAGATCTTTCACCTCCTTGGTCAAGTTTATTTCCAAGTATTTTATTATTTTGGTACAATTACAAAATGGGGTTGTTATTCTCTGGTTGTTATTCTCTTTCTGCTATTTCATTATTAGTATAGAAATGCACCAGATTTCTGTTTATTGATTTTATATCCTGCAACTTTCTGAATTCAGTTCCAGGCTTTTGGTGGAGTCTTTAGGGTTTTCTGTATATGGTATCATGTCATCTGCAAATAATTATCCACTTTAGATGCCTTTTATTTCTTGTCTGATTGCTGTGGCAAGGAATAAAAGTGATGAATAGAAGTGGTGAATAGTGGACATCTTTGTTTTGCTCCTGATCTGAGAGGAAGAGCTGTTCATTTTTCGCCATAGAGTATGTTGTTAGCTGTGGGTTATTCATATGCTCTTACGTTGAGGTACGTTCCCTCTAAATCTACATTGTTGAGAGTTTTTGCCATGAATGGATATGGTACTCTGTCAAATGCTTTTTTTTTTTTTTTTGCATCTATTGAGGTGATCATATGGTTTTTATCCTTTCTTTTGTTAATGTATCACATTGATTTGCAAACACTGAACCACTCTTTCATCCCTAGAATAAATCCCACTTGATGGCAGTAAATGATTTTTTAATGTATTGTTAGATACAGTTTGCTAATACTTTGTTGAGGATTTTCGCATCTATGTTCATCAGATATTGGCCTGTAGTTTTCTTTATCAGTAATGTTGTTATCTGATTTTGGTATCAGGGTAATGCTGCCCTTGTAGAATGAATGAATTTGGAAGCTTTCCTCCTCTTCTGTTCTTTGGAATACTTTGAGAAGAAAAGGTATCAACTCTTCTTTAAATATTTGGTAGAATTCACCTGTGAAGCTGTCTGGTCCTGGACTGTTG